CCCCTCCCTCCCTCCCTCCCCCCCCTCCTCCCCGCCCTGCTGGAACAGCAGGGCCGTCACGGGTCTGGGCGCCGCCACCGCTTCCCCCGGCCCGAGCCCGGGTAAAGGCGGACGCAACAGAAGGGCAGGAAGGGGGATGTTGATCCGATCTTCTCGGAAGCTGCTGGTCCACACGAGGACGAGGCCGGAAGCGAAGCCGAGGGCGACCTTCGTCCCGTCGTGGTTACAAGCCAAGGCCGTCGGGATGGCTGCGGCGGCGGTCAGGGCCTCATTTAAGGTACCCGGAGCCAGGGCCTGAAGGGCGGAAAGGACGGCGATGGTGTTGGAGGGCGCTGAGACTTTGCTTCCCACCCAGGTGTGGATAACAACTTGCGCCCCTGGGCCGTGGAGGCCGGCGACCACGAGGAGGGGAGGGGACTGGAGGGAGCGGGCGAGGAGGAGGGAGGGAGGATTGGAGGGGGAGGGAGGGGGGGAAGGAGGAGGAGACAGAATGCGGTGTTGAAGGGAGACGTGGAGGTCGGCGTCCGTGAAAGTGATGTGGCCCTGGTCGTCTGCGAAGATCAAGGCGCCTTCCACGAGCAACGCCGAGGCCAAATTGCCTTTCTGTCGGAAACGTCACAAGAAGATTATGGGTTAAAGGACATGACAACATGGATTGTGAAAGAAGAGAGAAGAGAAGAGTGCCTCGCCAGAACTGAGGCGCCATGCGGACAAGGGACGGGATAATGGTGGAGGCGAAAGTAGTGGCGGACAGAATGCAAGATCAAGAGATGGAACAGATAATATACACACGAGAGCCACCGAGGGGAGAAGGGGGTTGAAGGGCATAAAAGGAGAGCTGAAAAATGTGTGAATATAGAGATGTTGGGGGGGAAAGCGGAAGGAGACGAGAAATGGGAGGGTAGCGAAGAGAAGCCCGGGCGGTGGGAGGGGAGGTCGGCGCGTGCAGAAGCATGGTAAACTTACCAAAACAGAGGAGAGATTCCGAGGAAGGGAATCTCTGTCAAAGAAATTGTAGGGTCGGCCGCCAAAGCCCAACAGACGGGGTGGGCGGACTAGCTTTGATGAGGACATCAGAAATGCTTCGAGGCTCGCGACGGGTGAGGGAGGGCAGTGGGGGGGAAGCTATCGAAAGGTGAGCTCAGGCCAGGATGAGATGCCAGGCTTCCAAAGGGTTTGTACACGTTCCGATATAGCTACAGGAGCTCTGCAATTTCCGTGGAGTAAGGTATGGATGGGAAAGAGAGGGGTGTGAGCGCGTTTTTATGTCTTTGAAGTCCCTCGCCGAGGGGTCGCTAGTCGCCACCTGAGTTTACACAGCTGCAGCCCCGAGGCTTAGGCTTTCTCTAGTTACATGCATTCTTTACTTGATATCTAACCGTGTATATGTCTAGTCCGTGCATCGCCTTGTGCGCAGCTTGTTCTCGGACAGCCCATTGCTCTTTCAGCCGTGTAGAAAGTGGCGTTGGACACTCCGTGTTCTACTATTATACTCCAAGTGCCGCGTGAAACTGAAAACAAAGGAATACCGATAGAGGTCAACAAAAACTGGGATGAAAATGGTGTGTGGGGTAGCCTCGCGCCGAAGTTTGTTTTGCGTCGTACGGGAGATAAATTCTACCACAACGTTTATGCACACGGGGCTCAACCTCCCCTTCCATCCTTATTCCGATATCGTTCTCCGCATCCCACCCTTATGGTACACATCTACACTTCACCAAAATTCTACTCCATATTCTATTTATGTCTCGCCATAACAACGAGTAATCCATCCTCGGCATTTCGTGCGCCGAGTTTTTCCCTCCGTCTCGTCTTTGTTGGGCCCCCGCCTGGTCTTCCTCCCATCACATCACCACCGTCGTCGCCTTCGCAAGCCCTGCAGGAGCAGTCGGCAACAAGGATGAGTGGTGGTCGACAATCATCCATTTTTCCCCCTCTTTCCGGTACACAAACGAATACCGTGCGTGCTTCTGCACCTCACGGCCGTCCGGGCCCCGCCACGCAAAGACGTAGTACCCGTCGTTGATGGCTGTCTCTCCTTCATTTCCCGTTCCGAATATCCTTACGTAAGGTTGATAGGCTGCCACCCTCAATCCAGGGAGTGCGGCAAAAAAATCAAAATACGACCGAATTTCCGCGGGATTGACCCGAAGTTCCTCCGAAACCGTTCCCCACAACACGGCGTCCGAAGCATACAAGGCGGCCGTTTCCGCCGAAGCCGTTGCGCGGTTCGAGGTGACCGTCTGAAGCCATTTTTGAGTAGTTTGCAGGACTTCCTGCTTGACCCGCTCGTCCACGCCTGACGCACTGCGTGGCCGAGGTTCGACCATGGATCCCATCGCGACGTTTTTGTATCTGCCAGGAGTCTTGTCTACAGCTGCCACACCAGCCGGTGCAATGGCCATCGCACCAGAAGGAGCAGCGATGTTGAGAGCACCGCCTAAAAAAAGCGGGGGGAGGAAAAGTACCCCTCGGGCAAACTTTTTGACGAGACTGCGACGCGTGGAGCCGGGCGGGGCCGCTCGTGAGGCCGTCTGTTGCAGTGCATGTAAAACAGGCCTGATCTTGCCGAGCCGGGTGGCCTTCTCACGACGTCTCTTTTTCGTTTGAACATGACTATTGCTGGTGAGGGTGCCAGTGTCTGTGCTGGCGGTGGTCGAGGCCACGGCGGTTCGCGGGGACCGCGTTACACTGATAGGGTGGGGGGAACTGATTTTACGGACAATTGGGGAGGAGAAGTGCGTCAAGGATGTTCGAGGTTCCAAACGCGAAGGACTTGGAATCCGAGACGCCAAAGCATCACGCGATGGCGCATCAAGAGAGAGGTTACTGGAAGGGTAAAGTGGGAAGGCTTCGAGAAGGAAGAGCATGTGTGTCTTACTAAGGTAGAAAACTGGTTGATCGACAGACAGATTTGTCAATATCCCTATACTGTTGGAAAGCGCATCAAGAGGCAAAAAGAAGATTGACACTCCAATCAAAATGATATAAAATGATGGCGTATGTCGAGACTGATTCAGATGCTTTTCGCGTACCTAGGGCCCGAAGGGATGATGCCCAATTTGAAGGAAAAGGCGACGCCGGGTAAAAGGGAGGCAAGGAGAACCAAGGTCAGCAATAAATGCCTGAAAATTCTATCGGAGACTATTGGCCGGCGCTTCATCTTCCTGACGGTGCCTGCCCCGTGCCTGGTGGAAAGGGGTTGATCGGGCGGGAAGATGGACGATGTGAGGAGACACCCACGCTAACATGGCACAAAGCAATCCAACGATACTTCTCATCAGACGCAGCTTATGAATATTGCTCAACAAGCCGTCCATCAAGGTGTGGGCACGTGTCCATGCGAGAACTGAGCATTCAATGTCGCCAAACCACCTACGCGAGGCAATCAAGCGAGGCACGTAAGCCTTGCGTCACCCTGAAGGGGAGCACGCGTCGGCCTCCGCCGGCCTACGTTCCCTCGATTTCAGGCGGATTGGCCACTAAAGTGACGCCTCGACCTTGGCTATGGGGTGTAACAAGGTACGTGATGCCATTGGTTTTGATTAAAGATGTTGTGATATCTGGCAATATATTTGGGAGGAAGCCGAATGGAGAAGCGTCTTTGTCCTCCGGCGCCGGCGTCGTCGGAGGAAAATGTGTAAAAGGAGGTTTTCCTCGTCAAAGCCTTTGACGGCCTGGACATTTCACATGCATGAGATCTGTATCCAGTGACCTTGCATTTCTCATTGTCACCTAGGAATAGGGTGCCCGTAATTACCCTATCTTTGCAATGCTTGCAAGTAACGGACGTAATTCTATAATGAGGTTTTGGGTGGGGAGGTTGGCGTACATGTTTTTCAAAGATGCTGCACAAAAGATGATGATCAGCACATTGTCTCTACTCTCGTTGATCGTTGATCAAACTCAATTTGCTTGTAGTCCAACTCAATGTAGCACGGCTTTTGTATAGATGGTATTGTTTGCAGGGATCTGAAGAAAACTTTAAGTGATTCTTTACCTGTGTCAAAAAATTGAATGAAAACATCAAACGCTAATAAGTAAGATGCCAAAAATGCTCCATCACCTCTCCGAATTAATTGGAGACCAGACATCTTTGCTTTAAAGAGTTAAATATGTATGCACCTCCATCCATCCGAAATGTGACCGACCAAAATTGAGGGCCTCCTCAAACTCTACTTCCTACGCCTGTTATGTAACTCCAGGCAACCATCGATTTGCTATCCTCTTCATGCATCGATGTCAATGTGCTTCTTCTTCTTCTTCTTGGTTCCAAACTTGCTTTTCAAATCGACCGCAGCCACCCCCTCCGCTATAACATCAACAGCCACGTTTCCCTCTACTTTTTCCTGCCTGACCCCAACGCTGCTATCCTGAACATTTAAGCTCTCCGTCGCCCCCGTCACTGTGGGAGCGACAAATGTTGATTCTTTTTCCTTTCCCTGGGAGTTTGGAGTACTCAGGACAGCGTTGGATGCCGAGGGAGGCGCCGCGAGGGGACCTTCCGACTCTGTTTTTGCCCCCTCCGACGCCGTGCCCGCGGGTGCTGGCGTGACCCCGCCCTCCTTTTCAATCTTCTGGCCTGTCGTCCTCGACGAGGATGTGTCTGCCACCTGGCCCCACCTTCCGGCCGCCACGACGGGCGAAGGCCCAGCCGCCCGGGCAGGACCTAGGGAGGGAAAGCCGGATAGCGCGGGGAAGGCTTCGGTAGCGGTGGCGTTTTCTTTGCTGGAGCTGTTGCTGCCGCTATCAAGGGGAGGTGGGATCAATCCTTGTTCAGCCAGGACCCGGCGGGAGCGCCAGCGCCTGTCCGATCGGTCGGGGGGGAGCAACGAGACCGGCAAGAAGGGCGAAGGGGACGAGAAGAGGGGGGATGAGAGCGAGCAATAAATGCCAAGGAGGATATGATAATCGATTAAGGGGAGATTCTTAGAAAAGGCGACATCCTGAACACCACGATATACGCACCCTGGTTGGGCGGTCGGGGCTGGTTCGGGGGCGGGCGGAGGAGAGGGTTCGACAGGAGCTGCTGGGGAGGCCTCGGATGCGGCCGCCGAAACAGCCTTCTTCCGAACGTCATGAAAGACGGCCCTGCAACAAGAGGAGGAAGGAGGAAGGAGGGGAGGAAGCCACGGAACGAAGAGGGGGGTGAACGCCATGGAAGGGAGGATGACGGACGGCGCACCGGGGTTGAGAGTATGTTAACAAGGGTGGATCTCACCCCTATTGCTACCAAACCACCCCAAAAGTTCCCTTACTTGGTGTCGTCGTGCGCAACTTTTACTGCAAGGTTGACGTCGGCGTAAGCTCCACCACTGTTAAACAAGCGAGGTGCAGGGAAAAGGTCAATCCCAAGCACCACAAAACGATGACGATACATTAAACATGCATTGAATAAAGGAAGCATGCCCTCACATTTATAACCCGCGTGGATTCAAGAAACGAACTCACATCAACTCCCTGGCTTTGCGGTTCCCTAGGTACAATTGCTCCGTAGGCTTCGGTACCACACCCCATTCGTCATCCTCCTCTTCCTCGGCTGTTCTGTGAGGCAGCGAAAGGCATAATAATTTATTGTGTCAAAAAGTGTATAAGCGGGATGAAACCTGACTTATATTGGTATAGATGCTCAAAAGAGAGACGGAACCAGAGGTAAATAAAGTCGAAGGGACAAGGGAGGCTGATCGAGGATTTTGCACTTACGGCTTCACTGGTTCGGTTTTAGCCTTGGCCTGGTCATTGGAAAACCATTGTGGATGATTCAATTATTAGAATGAGGCGTATTACACAGTGTAAAGGTTACACGATAGGTCAAAAAATTATCGGTCTTGGACCGGAAAGACTTCAGCATGATTCCTACGCACCGCTTGCTTGGTTTTTTTGCGGAACAAAGATTTGACATCCGACATGGCTGGCTCACACGTTTGTATTTTGAACCTAGGGCTAGCTCTTTCTTGGCTTTTGGCTTTCCACTCACAGCCGCACTCTTTTCCTTCAGGTTATACCCGAAAGTTAGCCGCCGGAGGAGAGGTGTAGAAGGCTGTAAGTGCGTGCAAAGATTGCGTGAGCGACTTGAATACGGATCGCATCGATAAATACTTTACATCTCTCAAGCAAAGTCTCAAAATACAAATTATATCTGGAATGAGGGCCTGACGACGTTGCAATGAACAGGATGGCCGGGTGAGGCTCCTGACCGTTCCTCCGTCTTATTCCCGAGCCGCCCGCCTAAACCCTGCAAACCTTACGTACAAAGCATTGCCGGCCTTTCTGTTACATAAAACTACGCAAAACATCGCGAATTGATTTCAAATTCTTTGATGGGAGACGAAGCTGGCTCAGCCTCGGTGAACTGCCTGAGAAGGACTTTGTCAACTACCTGCCCGTTTAAGCAAACCATGAAAAAAGATGTACATGAGAAAACAAGGACGGAAGCTTCTTTCCAGTTTCTTTTTTCCTAGAGCTAGTTTTACTGTAGAATTTCTGAGGGCATGTCCTCGTTCTCATCTCCCCACTTCTAAATATCAATCAACTTTCATCGTTGTCAATCCAAGGTATGTTGTACTTGTCTCCTCTTCCTCTCTCGTGTCCACATCGTTCAGTTATGCACCAACACAATATGAAGGAAACGGTGATCGTTTGCTAACATGACGGAAAACAGCAAGAATACTGGCAATACTTCTGATGTATCCCATCCTTCGCTGATCATCACCATCATCAAGCGTTTCCACTCGAGATATGAAACATAACTACACACTTGGTCTTTTTAGGTGAAACCATGCCGCTGCGGACATTAAGCCGCATTCGCGACCCACGCCCCGGTGAAAGACTTCACTATGATGCTCGGTGCTTGTAAAAAACGGCATTTTTATCCGTGTCCACATACTTGCAAAGCGTATAACTTCGCCACAACGCTTTCCATATCGGGGTGTCGTCCTTCAGGTAGTACGGCCCCAGCGCCTTCTTGATGTGCTCACTCGCTTCTTGCGCGTGATAGAAAGGCATCTTACTAAATATATGATGGCAGACGTGCGTGTCCGAGATGTGGTGGAACGTATGGTCGAGCAGCCAGCCGAAGGAGCGGTCGACAGTGCAAAGAGCCCCCCGGAACCATGACCACTCTGCCCCGCGGAAATGAGGGATGAAGACGTCCGTGTGCTGGAGATAGGTGATGAGCACCAGATGATAGTTCACCACCATGTAGGGGAGCAGGTAGTACTTGCCCACGGTGGAGAACCCGTACTGGGTGCAGGCCCACACCACGCCGGCCAAAGCGAGGAAGAAGCCTATGTCCGACCAGATGATATCCAAGCGGTCCTTGGGGGAGAACAGCGCGGAATTCGGATCGAAGTGGCTGTTGTTCTTGCCCTTGTACTTTCGAGGTCCCGTGGCATTCATCAACAGGTAGCCGGGCATCCATCCCACGGTCAACATGATGATGATTTGGGCGAGGTTGGCCAAGGGGGAGTGGAGGAGGATCTCGTCCATCAGGTCTTCCTTGATGGGCGGCGCGAACACCTCGTCGTTCTCGCAGCTCCCCGTGTTGTTGTGGTGCTTGCCGTGGGAGATGCGCCAGGAATGGTAGGGGACGAGGAGGGCGGAGTGCAGGACCCACCCCACCAGGTTGTTCACCCGTTCGTACGGGGAAAAAGACTGATGCCCGCATTCATGGGCAATGACCCACACGCCTGTCAACACCGAGCCCTGCGCATACCAGTAGAGAGGCCACAGTAGGTAGCGGGACATTGTCGGCACGTCTGGGTGCCCGATGAGCGTGGCCAAGTATCCGAGCAGAGCAACCAGGACGAGGTCACAAGCGAGGTGGAAGAAGGAGGTGGTCAAGGAGCGTTCGAAGCAATGCCTGGGTACGGCGGCTTTGATATCCGCAAGGGTGAAGGGAGGAGGGGTGAGGGGGAGGGAGGGAGGCGCGTCCGTACGGAGAAGAATGTCGCCATATGGGGCCTATCGCACGTGGTAGGGGATGCAGGAGGACGAAGGAGAGGGTAAGACGGGTACGGTCTCAACGACGTGAGACAAGAAATGTGAGCCCAGGAAAGACAACTCGAACGTGCGGATTTCTGGTGAGAAACAGAGCATGTCGTGCCGTTGCAGGTCCTTGGAAGCTAACGTGAGCAAGCGCGTCACCAGGGCTCTCCCTCTCACCAGTATTTGAAGCAACGAGGCCCTGTCCGCGGAGGCGTCGTGTCCGTATTGCAGTGCCTTCTTTCGCAATTCTTCCGTGGGCATTGCCTCCAACGACTTACTGGGCCTAACCGAGCTCGAGATAGTGGATGCGGCATCCGCTCGAGAAAGGTCACTGGCGGTCAGAGAGTGGCCATGAGCATGGAAGGTTTTTGATGGAGGTGTGACAGTTTTCTCACCGCCACGCCCCATTCTAGAGAAAGGTGAGTTGGAAAACCTGTCTAAAGATACATTGTAGGGTTGTGGTCGTTGATACGGGTCAGGATACAAGGTCAGGGGCAATGAATCCATCTCGCTTCATTTTACTCCTCGGGTGGAGGCGATCTATAAAAATGTTCCGCTTACGTGGCTCATGAATTCCAACCACCCAAGAAGTAATCTAAACGTCATCAACAGATTAATGAAGTCACAATTTCCTTACATACGTCAAATACACGTATGGCAAGACCTACAAGGCCAGCTCCTTGTTAGACGTGTTGCATAACACAAGGTACGGGTGCGGCGATGAGCAGGGCGGGCTGACGGGGAACATGAAAGCGTCTGGCTCTGGTTTTCTTCTGGTTGCTCAACGTGAACACATGCACGCACCGGCCCAAGAAATCCACCACGAACCGCCCCCACGTGAGACTTTCCGCCTTTTTGCCCACCATGGACGGCGGGATGGAGCGCCGTCGCAAGTGTAAGACGGACCCAACTCCTGCCTAGACGGCCACGGGACGTGCCTCGCTGGCAACCGCCCAGATGATGACGAACAGGCGCGTCAGCTGACGCGTGCCGAGCCAGTTGGGACCTTCGGACGGTGGGGGGGTTGTACTTCGGAAAGGGGAGTCATCTCCTTGTACCGTGGCCAGGGCTGCGTTCATGTTCTTTCCGTACCGTTGTAGACGCCTTTCGACGCTGGTTGCTCCTAGGTTGCTGGATGGGGCATCGTGTAGACCATGGCTCGCCAGTTCTCATTACGCCCCCCATCATAGTAGCGTCTAAAAGGAGCGTTGTCTCGTAATAATTGAGAAATCGATCAATGCACGGCGCAGTACCGATGCCCGTCAGAACCTGCAGAATTGTTTTTGTGTACAACCGATACTATTCATACATTGGGAACTCGTTCCTGAGGGAACACGGGTGGAAAATCTCCCAACTGGCTCTACCGCTTTTTATATTTCTTTCCTTCTTTTGTCGAACATCGGGAGGCAAAATTTTGCATTTAAATATGTGTTCTTTCAACTTATCACTCTTATTTCACCCATGTGTCGTGAGTGTCAAGGAAAGTCCAGGCGTCATGCATGTTATGTGTAATCTATACGACACACATTCGACCTCGCCTCGCACATTTACTCTCCCAGTTCCTTTTTCCTCCGCCAAGAAAATGAGCCTTTTCCTGCTAGCATTTTTAAAGCATCACATCGTCGTCACCTAGTCTGCTTCGCGACTTCCCACCAACGACCCTTTCCTATATCTACACAGTTCCCCTTTTTCGTGCCACAAACCATTTGCACCCAACCCCACACTGACACTCACATCGTCACGGGCTCCATCAATTTTTTCAACAAAATATTGAATTTATCCTCCGTGTCTTTCCGTAGCGGCAGCTGCCAATTGCCAAACAGCAAATCGCCAATCTCCTTGGCAATGTTGGTAGTGCTGCTCGGGCGACTAGCTTCCAGGGCCTTCTTGCTCATCTTCTCCCGCACCTCCTCGCTCATCAGCCACCCCGACACCACCTCCCCGATCGCCTTCGGGTCCTTTTTGTAATCACCAAAGCCATTTTCCACCACAAAGGGCACGTTCCCTTCTTCCTGTCCGGGCAGGTAGTTAAAAAGCATCACGGGCAGCCCCCGAGTACTCGCCTCCGCAATCGTCCCTGGCCCGGCCTTGGTGACGATGCAATCCGACGCGCCCATCCAAGCATCCATATTATTTACAAACCCCTTGACCACCACATTCACGCTCGGGGGCCACGTCCGCCGCTCCAAATTCCGCCGCATTTCCTCGTTCTTCCCACACACCACCACCACCTGGCTCTTCTTCCCCCCGGATCCCCCAGCCGCCAGCGCCGAGGCAAGGCTCTCCGTGATCTCCAACAGGTTTCCTATCCCGTCCCCACCCCCCACAACCAGCGCCGTCCTCACCCCCGTGGCCAAACCCAGCTCCCTGCGCAACTGCCCTTTATCCTTCCCCGCCTTCCAAAAGCCTGGCCGGATCGGCAGTCCGTGCTGTCGGATTTGATCGTGTTTCAACCCCATGGCCAAGGCAATCTTTCGAACTGGGTCCGAGGGAACGAAGCAAAGGTCCACCTCCTTGTGAAACCAGGTCGGGTGCGCGCCTCCCAGGTCGGTGACGACGGTCACGAAAGGAATTTGACGCTTCCCGCGGCCCAGCGTGTTCAAAACCCGCAGGGGCACATCCTGACAGAGGGGGTGCACCGAGATGATCAGGTCCGGGTCTTGGTCCTCAATGCAGTCCTTGAACCGGTGGTGACAAGCCAGGTTCGACAGCTCCTCCGTGCCCCATTTGGAAGGGGGAAATTTCCCGTACTCCCAGAACGCCTTCCAGTAGAGGGGGTTCTTGGCCATGAACTGATAGGCCGGCACGAATCGATTGTAGGGCCAGGGAGCGAAATCCGTCCAGATATCCACGGTCGTGCACTCGACCTGGTTGGGAAAGAGCTCGTTGAAAGCGGCCTCCAGAGCCTGGGCCGACGCCCGGTGCCCGCCCCCGGTATCGGACATGAGGATCAACACCTTCTTTTTCCGCTTCTCACTCGTGCCCGCCACCCCCGCCGCCCGCAGTGGCATGCTCCCACCTTCACCCCCCCCTAGGGCCACCTCGATCCCCCTCGTGTCCGTGGGGATGCCTGGGGGCAGGAAGGAGAGGATGCCACCGTCCCTGGCCATCGTCTCGCCCGAGGACCAGGCAGCGTAGGTGGACGACAAGATTCTATACGTGTTCGAGGAGGATGCAGGCCCTCCCGGCAAGCTGGGAGCTGCCGTTTCTCCAGGAGCCGGGCTTGTTGTCCTGGAGCTGATCCCTCCCCGACGAAACGCCGAGAATAGGCCTCGCCATCCCCAAAAGGCCCTTCCTTGGTCTTGTCCCTCGATACCCGTCGTGGAGGCCGCGTTGCAGACCAGCATGCGGACATTCCCACTCCGTCTGCCCCCACTACTGCTGCTGCTGCTGTGGTGGTACAAGGCACTAACGCCGTTTAAAACGCTGGCCAATGGCACGGAGGAAGAAGAAACGCTGGCAGCTGCTGATGTTGCCGCGGCTGCTGCGGTCGCGCTCCGAGGAATGAGTACCCCGCTATTTTTCATCATCAAACGATTGGTAGCGATCAATTGTGGTCCTCCTGGTGGTGGAGCGACGAAAGGATTGTGTGTGGTGGTGTAGAATTTCAGGCCGAAGACGGCAGCAGTCGGGAGAAGGAGAAGGAGGACTAAAGGCAGGACTCTTCGCATGAGCCTACTGCGGGCGGAGCCCGTGGTCGGCATTCTGATGCTGATTTTGGGGACCCTAGCTATCTAAACTGCGGCGAAAATGTTGGAGGAAGCTTGAAGGTTTTTAAAAACGGGCGCAATTGCTCGCTTCAGCAGTCCACACTAAGCTACTCCGCCTCCAGCTCACGAGGAGAAATCCTACTCCTGCCAGAGAGGAAAAAGGGTGCAAGAAAACGTGAGTATGAAACCTTGGACCTGGCCAGTATTGATAAAATGACATACGTTTTCCTTAGTCCGCAGGCAAGGAGTCTTGAACTGACGGAGATGCATTGGCGTCGAAGGCTCGGAGGGGGCTGGCATGCATTCGTTGTTTCAAGTTGAAAGTCAAGAGGAAGAGCCAAATATAATCCTGATTTAGTACCCCGCCAATACACTGTCCACCCGAACTCAGTGCACGCGGACTAGGCTCCGTGCATTTCAGCACATGGAATACACCTTTCCGCCACCGCGATGTGGGTTACTGGACGTGAATGCTTTCTATGGCTTTGATTTTTAGAGGTGTGGTGGTGAGGCGATCGGGAGACGCGTCGATCACGGAAGACACGAGGGAGAGCTTAGCTAGCTCCAGGGTGCAAACGTCGGCTGAATTTTTTCTTTTCCATCACATCCTGGAACGGATTTTATGGAGATTCGTTTTTAATGTTTGTTTCGTCAAGTTCTTGCGATTTCATGCGGTTGATCGCCTGATTGCCAGCTCTTCAAAAGCATGAAAGGCCTGCCCTGTTCATAGGTTCTCGGCCCACTTGCTTCAAAGCGTACCGTAGAGAGGTTCGTGAAGAACAGGATGGGAAAAATAGAAGTTTATATTCACAGTTGTAGTAGGTGCATCATGTCCATGCTAAGAATTCTCGTTACCGCTGCAAAGGGGGTAAAAGTGGCCGGTGGAGGTCTTAGGGTACCTCGGCAAAGCCCTTGTGGGACCAATGATAATGTCTGTCTTTAGCAAGGATATGAATACGTGCGAGCTAACACACAACGAATTTATGAGTGCCACGACATCCTATCTTACAACTGGGATTTTGCAGGTACCGTCACGTACGTACGTATGGTTAATTGCTATACAAATAACGGGACGGATGGCAACAGAGGGTGGGACTATTGCCAAGACCTTTAAGACTTCGTGTATTATTGGCTATCAAACGCGCGCTAATGTTTCTGTATCCCGTAGCGCGCGTGCGATAGCCAATATTACACGAAGTCTTAAAGGCCTTGGCAAGAATACCAATCTCTGTTGCCATCCGTCCCATCATCTTTTGATAACGCTGAAACTTCCCTTGCTTGGTTACCTTCGGATACATATTGCCTGTGCCCTCGATCCTCGTCAATATCTCTCTTTTCACTGAGTGCACGATTATATTAATATTCCTTGATATTTCTATACGCAGCTTCAATCAAGGCATTGTCAAAGATCGGACTCGCGCGCTTCCTGGAATGCGACGGCCTTTACTGTAGCAATAGACTTAGGACTGTCTTAGCATTGAGAACCTGTAGTTAATTGTCAAGCTCGTCATTTTTTAGACACCCCTGATACCTGTATTCGCGATTTCGTATTGCATGGGCCTAGTCATTTGATTTTATTTATTCATTACTGCTCATTGTGGGCGCATTGTTCATCAGCGCGCACACATTAGACCTAAAACGCTTAGACGATCATTGTTGATATTTTCCTTTCAATCCAAAAATATTAGGAACCGTTGAATTTCTTCGTTTTAATTAGTAATTTTAAAAG